TGTATGTATTTACGTATGTATGCATGCATGTGTATGTGTATGTGTATGGGTATGTGTATGTGCATGTGCATGTAGATGCATATGTATATGTATATGTATATGTATATCTGTATGCACATGTATATGTATATGTATATGTATATGTATGTAAATGCGTATGTGTATGTATATGTGTGTGAATAATCATAATGTATATATATATATATATGTATGTGATGTGTACATGTATATGTCTATGTACATGTGCATGTACTTGTTTATGTACATGTATATGTATATGTATTTGCAAGTTTGGTTGCCCATTGTAATGTGTCATGTCAATGTTGGTTATGTCATGGTCGTGCCATGTCAGGCTGGTTTTTTGGCATGCTATGCTGTGCTGTGCTATGTCATGCTTGTCATGTCACGTCATGTCTGGTTTTGTTGTGCTACATTATGGTATGTTGTGTTGTGTTATGTTATGCTATGTTATGTTGTCTTAGGTTAAGTTCACTTATGTCACTGTCTGGGTACGTCATGTTGCGAGATACTGGAGATTCGTCGAAGCTCCGCTCTCAACCTGCAAGCCTAAAGTCCACAACCCCTCTTGAAGACAAAACCCTAAACTCTAAGCCCTAAGTGCGAGCAGTGCTGAACCTTAAATCCTACAGCGTCCCAAACCGCAAGGCCAAGAGCGGGAGCTTCAGAGCTAGTCTAGCCCGAAAATGGTAAAGAAGAAAAGGGGATTTGTTTGTCGTTCGTAATAGATGCCGTTTCCAAGCCTTTAGCACGCCGAATAGACACCATGCTACACAGGCACCAGAGCCTTAAAAACCCCCAGTCCGTGTCCTTAAGTCAGGTGGAGCTGGCAGCGGATTTGCTCCGTGCCATGCTTGGGATTAGTGGAGCCTCCGAGGTGAGCTGTTTCATGGGCTTAGGATCGCAAGTTTAGGGCTCTTGTAAAGGTTTAGGATCTTGAGCTTAAGGCTTTTGGGGGAAGAGGATGTTTCTTTCAAAAAGGGTCGGGGCTCTTTTTTGCGGCGAGAAGGGTTTGGGGCATTGCGATGTTATTGTGGCATTTGAGTTGAGGGTTTTGCTTCGGTCTCAGGGGTTGGAGCTGGACAGATTGGGTTTTGAGGGTTACGATGGTGCTTTTGGATGGCCCAGGGTGCATTGGTCCTGAAACCCTCATCCCTAAACCCTAAACCCGAAACGGGTGAAGGTTAGTGGGTGTTGCGGTTTTGCAGAGGCCGAAAGCCTTTTCTGCTCGAAGGCTGATGCCTCCAGAAAACGAGGGGTTCTTGAGATAAAACCTGGGTTCTCTAGGATCCCGAGCCCGAAGATAGTCGGCCCCTTGGATTCTTGGGGTGTCCCACTGCAAGGATCTTTTGAACAAACCTGTAACGGGGTTGCGGGGTGTTAGGGGTTAGAGGTTTTTGGGCTTAGCTTACGGGTTGCCTTTCAACCGAAAGCCCGAAGCCATAAATGGCTAAAGCATACCCACTGCCCCCAAGCCTCGTAGCTTTCAGCACCCCAAACCCCGACACCTTCACACAAAATGCAAAACACTGGACCCTTAGCTCCAGTCTGTAAGCAGATACCAACTCTGAACGGTATAAGCCAAAGAGTCTTTCCTAAACACGCGACCCAATGTTGTAAAGCCTAGAAGTTCAATTGTACTCTGAACCCCGAGCCCCGAAACCGCTGACTAAACCCAAAACCCCCAAACGCCAAACCCCCAAGCCCGAAACCCCAAACCCCGTAGCCTTGAACTCTCTAAACTGTAAGGCTTCAGAGCTTTGAAGGGAACTGTAAGGGTACCATTACGATATTGGAAGGATACTGTAAGGGGCTGCCATGAGGGCCTAAAAGGATACTTTCTGATCTCTGCAGGCTGCAAGCCAGCATCGAGCAGCGCAGGACTTCGATCAGGTCGAAGCATTGTTCTTTCTAGAGAATATGGGTTAGTTGGTCTTTCGGGTTTTTGAAAAAGTTCATATAGCCTTGTGTCTTTTTTTTTTTTTTGTGGGGTTTGAGGCTGTGTTTTGGGTTTTGAGAGGTTTCCGGTTCCCGTAGCTTAATGTGTGAAGTTTGCAGGCGGAGTCTATCTTGGAGGTCGCTTGTGCTTCAGGTGCTGAGGGCTTCAGGTTAAGAGTAAAAAGGCCTTTATTGCCATAAACCCTAAACATTGGGATGTTCTATGGAGCTCAGGTTGGGAAGGTTTCGTCTTTTCAATTGCTCCTTTGAAAGGCATTCCGAATCTTTTGCTCTTTTCAACCAGCGTAAAAGATGCGGATTGCTTGAGGTTGTGAGCTTCTGAGCTGGCTTTCCATGTAGGAGGCTGAACAATTACCCATACTGCGCCACTATTCCTTAGAGTGCCCCAGTGTGAGTATGCTATAGTATACATCCAAAACATCAGCAAGCAACAAAGAAGTCCCCTCTATTGCCTTCATTCCTAAAGGCCTGAATCTACGAAGGTGCTGCGGTTTCGGGGTTCAGGTTCCAGTCCCGCCCTTCCAACTGCATAACCGTGAGACTCTGGAACCTGGTAGCCTCAGCAACTCCTCTGGCGAGGCTCTATCTGTGGAAGTTCTCAAAGCCATGGCAGAGGCCAAAGGCGGCAGAGAATGATGTTTGGACTTGTTTGGCTTGAGGGTTTGCGGTTTTTAAGGAGTTGTAAGGAGCCAAGACGCAGAACCCCCAAGGGGTATGCTACGATCACACGAATTGAGTTATGAAGGCAGGGTCAGATAGCACCCTTTTCAAGTTCTCCTTCCTTGGGAGCCTTTAAGGGGCCTGGTCGGTGCTCCCCCAAAGACGGGCTTCGGGGCTTTTTCGGGGCTTACGGTTTAGGGCGTTTGGTTTCGGGGCTTAGGGTTTAGGGTTTCGGGTTTAGGTTTTAGAGTTCCCCTGCCCTAACCATTGAAGGCTTCGAGGCTCAGCCTGAGAGGCTGAGTTGAAACTACCCTCGGCTCTTCGGGCGCTTAAGATGGGGCCTAGTGCTTACGGGATATTCCTGTTCAAGGTTTGGGTTCAAGGGAGGCCCAGGGTTTTGGGGTTTCTACTGGGCTTCTCTGGGGTTTTCGGTAGTTTAAAAGGTTCTTTGAGGGTGGGTATCCATGCCAGGAGTTGCTTAGCGGTAGGGCTCGCTTGGAGGTGCCTGTCTGAAGAGGGTGAGGAACTCAAACAAAAACTGAAAACCTTCAGGGTCTTTATTGGCAATCAACTGAACCGTATAGAATCATATATCTATGCAGCCCGTCCAGAACCCCACCCTGAACCCCATGCCGGAAGCTGGACCGCCGTCATTTCGCCTTCGGATTTCTGCCTTAAGAATGTTTCGTTTAGAGCAGGACCGAGCAGGGTCACCCCAAGCCCCACGTGCAAAGCTGTGACAATTATGGTGCTGTCCATATCGTCATTACGACTCCTGGGTACTTTGCCCAAACCCTGAAACTACGATACATCCTGACCCCCTGAACCCTCCGAAGCCCGACGCTTGCTGGGTATCAGAACAGGCTACCATTCGGGACAAGCTATGAGCCTCTTCCAAGATCTGAAGGCTCGTGTTCGGGGTTGATCAGTTTCAGGGCCAAGCCCCAAAAGCCTAAAGCCTAAACCCTAAACCCAAAGCCATACTGGCAGCCCTGCAAGATTTGGGATCTTTGAATGTAGGAGTTCTGGAAGACGAAGGGGCTAGCTGGACGGGTTGGGTTTTGTGGTGGCCATACACGACCCACCTTCATCAATGCGCCCTGCCTCATCTCCTTCAAGAAGATCCTAAACCTACGCGACGTACTCTAAATCCTAAACCCGCAGGCTTGAACTTACGGCTTACAGCTTGCGTGGGACATCTCCAACCGCTTGGTGACGGCATTTCCTACAGGCCGTTGAAACTTGCGCTTTTCGCAGGCTCGTCAACTCCTTCAACTGCCCACACACCTGTGGAGTCTGACGAGTGGCTGTGTGCCCTGCGCTGGGGTTACTCTCTGACCTTGGCCGCGCAGTTGGCAGGGTCAACTGGGTTGCGTGAAACAGAGCCCTCTCCTGGTCCCAGGACCTTTCGTCGGTAGCTTCGGATCTGCAGGCGGAAAAAACCTACAACCCTCAACAAGTCTTGGTATTGCCGGGTTTAGGCTTAGGGTTCCTGAACCCTGCACGTCTAAAGCTTTAACCATAGAAGATTCTTTTGATTATTGGAGCTGCAGGAATTAACCTGAAGTTTGAGGCTAGATGGTGCCTACCTGTACTCTGCTGATACGACACCCCTGATACCGTACGGGCTGGGAGACCATTTGGCTGATCCTCATGAGCAACTCGGGGGGCAGGGGGTCAGGGGTGGGGGACTGGAGATGAGTAAAATCATGATTTAAACGCAAACGTGGAGAGCATGCGGATATGCTGCACTTCAGAGCATTTGCAGCTTCTAGTGCTAAGCAATGTTGCAAGTTAAAAGATGTCTCGAAGCCTCGCACGCGTCAGCAAGCAAGCAGACACTTGCCGCGGGAAGGTATCAGAAAAGCGAAGACCCGAAGTACTCGACACATTCGATAAAGAACCACCGCAACAAACCAAGCTCGACACTCTGAATGCAAAATTTTGAAGCCCTGCATGGCCCGTGAGAGCTAAACCTTCAAACCCTCTCCGCTTAAACTCCCAAGCCCCCAATAAACCCGAAAACCCTAAGCCCTCCAACCCGGAAGAAACCGTAAACCTGAAGTAAAACCTATGTCATCCTGAACCCTCAAGTTCTAACACCCAAACAAACCCTCCAGCCCAAGCCTCAAGCTCCAGACCTTAAACCCCAGAAGCCCAGAGCCCTTAGGCCCTTAGAACCTGAAGCTTCAACCCTCACAGAAAACCCTCATAGTCGAACGCCGACAGCAACACACTAAAGCCCCTTAACCCCAAAACCCTACACCTCTTGAACGCAGGCTGTAAAGCCGGATTTGGAGCTCGACTACGACCTGCAGCTGAGGATGGAATCTCGAGGCCGGTCTTGCGGTTTGCGTGGGTTTTCTAAAACAAAAAAGACTGCGAGTCTTAATGATTCGAAGAGAGCTCCTACAGTAAGGGTTCTTCACAGGGATTGTTTTTTTTGGGTTCCGTAGAGGGTTCTCTGGAAGGGTATCCCCTGTTCCAACTACTACTGCTCCTGCAAAAAAGGGTTCTACAGTGGTGTAGGGGCGTAGGGTTTAGGTTCTTCCAGCGTTTGTGGGTTTGTAGGTTTCGGGCTTTGGGATTTTGGAGCTTAGTGGTCGAGTTCATCAGTGTTTCGGGTGGGCCTTCCGGGATTCCGCCAGTCTGATTGAGAGTTGGATGAGGATTCTTTTAACGAGATGCTCTGCTGGCTGTCTCTATATATCTTTCCCTCTCTCTTGTCAGATCTCTTTTGGCTTGCGTGGCTTCTATAGCGCTATGCTTTAGTCTATGGCTTTTCCCGGGCTTCGCTTCTGCGGTCTTTGGGGATTTCTGCTTTCAGGATGTCAGGGCTGTTTAGTTTGGAGAGCCGGAACTCCCAAGCTAAGAGTAGCCTTAAGTCCTAAATTCCGAGCCCTAAGCCCTAAACTTTAAACTCTACCCCACCGCCCCCTACCACTATTAACAAAGGCAAAAGCAGGCACACAAAGAAACCCAGATAAATACGTACATGTGAGGACGATAGACGGATGTTACTAAGTGTTTCGAGGCCCAGAGTATTTGCATCCCAAATGATTGTCAATGTAGTTTTCGTTTTACCACCAACACAGCATTCCAACTACTAAAACCCCTACATTACCTGAAACAACCTATATAAGGAACTGGCCTCTTTCCCTAAACCCTAAGTCCCAAACCCGAAATCCTAAACTGACCCAAGGTACCAAGATCTCCAAGCCTTACCGTTGACCTGCGGCGAACTTCACTCCATGACCTTTTGCGCCCGAATGGGCAAGAGGATGTTGGGCTAGGGCCTGCTCCTCTATGCTGCATCCTGGCCACATGGTTTATGAATCTTCACCATGACGAGGGCCGCAAGTTTACTTCATGTCATATACCACCATCATGTTGTATGGCTGCGACTTCGTGGGCATGGATACGCACACCTTCCGTATATGCAGACACGGATGCGACATGTATTTGTATGTAGACGCACATGGACAGACTCAAACAAGCAAGTGCACACTCATGCTTGTGTGTATCATTGTGTATATGACATGTACGCACACGTGCACTTCCGCGTACGCACAGGAGTACATCCGTCGTTACTGACCGCACATGTTCAACTGGATGGCAGATTAAGAGATTACAGTTCGCACACGACTTTTGGCTCAACAGAAGAGCTCAGCCTGTACAGGTATAGCCATGGGGTGCGGTGGAAGCTGCACCAGTCAGAAGGTGTGCTACGTGCCTAAGTCATTTCCAGCACCTTTAAAGGAGATTCGGCCACCAAACGGCTCTACACACCAGCTGTATGTTCGTCAGCTCAACATCTACCTCATTCGTGTGGCGAAGAACCCACAGGCCTTCCAGATGACGGTTGAGAAGCGTCGCGAAGCCTTCTTTGGCAAAGCCTGGACCGGTTCTACCATGTCACACCCGATGGATTCTGACTGCTTCGAGACCAACTGGCTCTCAGTTGGCCCGTGATGGATCGTCAAAGCTCATCGAGGCTGCACGCCTGCTGTGATGCACTCTTCATTAAGGTTGCGCGTGACCAGCTTAACTATGTCACGCTTCGTATGACGTCGTGTCTGGATCTGGTCAGATTTGATCGGCCTTGGCCCTACTTATACCAATGTAGTTTGGTCCACTTGCAGCAGCAGAAGCAAGTGCACTGTCCGGCACGGCCTAGTAGTAGCCGTAGCCTTCTTTCTCCATGTGTTTCAAGATCTCAGGCAGCCTTGTCTCGAGATGAATCGAGCCGTGCTTCACATACGGCCGAGCACGTTATCGATTTGCACTACTGTCCCGCGGTCGAGCTACTTCAAGTAGCTTCAACGCACCTGAAACGATCTTTGCAGTTCCTTTTCGCAGATGTGACATCGGTGCATTAGACACCCAGGAAAATGCACAGGTCCTCTTGTTCTGTCGTTTCATGTCTGCGATGGAAGGAGCCCCCCCAATCTATCTCCAAGTGCCAGCTTTGAAAAGTGTCACTTGCCAATTAGTAAGTCTTCGTGGGGTAACCGGTAGAAAGCCACGGGGGTCAAGGACTATGCTGACAGCACATGCTCGGACTCCTTGCGTGGTGTCAACCGCAACATGTCAGTCATGGCTTGCTGAGAAACAGGCACATAATGACCATAGATCAACCAAAGGCCTTGGCTTCGAGGTTCGGGGTCTGTAAATCATCTGGGTTTCGGATTTAGGGCGATAGTAAGTGTGCTGCAACGTGTCAGGTTATGTCATGCCAAAACCAGTCATAATTATAAAGTTCGACATTTTGCAAGTGAGTTGTATGATGTAGGCTGATGTGCCGAGTGCAGCACTTCCATGCACGGAACGGTCAGGCTTGCGCTGCATATTCAGACTTCAATGCCAGAGGAACCATGCTTGTGGGGTGTTGTATTCCATGTATCTAAATTGCTTCAGCTCCCCTCGCTGTCACTTTCTGTTCGGCCACAACCAGCAAGCAGATTGGCACAGCAAGCCTTTTGGTAGCCTGCATTCCTGTGACAGCCGAAGGTGACCGCCAGTCAAGACTCACCTGAGACAGCCTGCTCGCTGTGAGACGCATGATCCTGCCTTCTCACTCGTTCAATTTGACCGAGCATGCAGGGAAGGAGGAAAGGTGCGCAACAAGTTCTCATCGTTCTTCGGCCTAGAAGACGTGAAGCATTGGTCGATATACTCGTCACTGTTCTGTGTCAGTCGCCAGTCCTTCATACTGCCTTTGTCAGTTTCGTAAACTACCGTTCCCCAAACCTTGCTGAGTACTGCGGCATGTTGGTGGCCAGTGATTAGCTGCCAGGTTCCACACAACGAGACGCATTCGTGATCATAGTAAGCAGACTGAGGAACGTGAGAGCCGCGGTGCCAGTGGTGCTGTCACTGTCATCATCATCACCGTCAACATTACCATCATCAACAACACCATGCACATCGACATCAGCATCATTTTCACATGATTTACCATCATATTCACCATCGTGTTCATCATCAGCATCAGCACCGCCCGTGTCATCAGCTTCATGACCATCATTGTCATGACCATCGACATCACCATGACCATCACCATCACCTTCATCTCCATCACCATCACCTTCATCACCGTCACCATCATCATCATCATCGTCATCATCATCATCATCATCATCGTCACCATCATCATCATCATCATCGCCTCCATGGCCACCCTCCTCATCATCGTCATCACCAGTACTGCCACCGCCATGACAGTCATCAAGCACCCGCAGCGCCACTCAACACCACCATCGGAATCATCATCAGCTCTGTACCATCACCATCAAGTCTCAGCGCCATCATGCCATCATCTTCAGTTTGAGTAGAAGACTGATGAGGATACACTCAAAAGAGCCGTCACGAGCAAAACAAGGGCCACAGCAGTACCAGATAGCCACTGCATGCGTGCCCCTAGCCCAGTATGCCGAGATGTTGCTTGCTCGTTCAGCCTTTTTGCGCTGAGATCGTGCTGTCAGTGGTGCACCTGATGCCTTCGACATTTCGACATGTGCGGGCCAGGTGTACATCACTTCCATCCGATATGAGACTTTGCCGGAAGCAGCCCAAAGCCCAATACCCTTATAACTTATAAGTCTGTACCTAGCAGGTCCTGGCGAAAGGGGAGCTTCTGTTCGTCTCACGAGCCGCATCTCAAGCCGACAGTGTGTAGAGCGCTCGGCCTTGCACAGATCATGACTGGTAGGCACCCGAACTGCGATCCCGAATTGCAGGAAGCAAAATGTCGAACCGCCGCGAACGGTTTGCCTCTGTAGACAAGTGTATAGGGAATGAGATGTGCGTATGTATGTGTGTATGTATATATGTATGTATGTATGTACGTATGTATGTATGTATGCATGTTTGTCTGTTTGTCTGTTTGTATGTACCCAGAGTATTTTCTTGTCAGGTCCCGCGACTTTCTTCCTTTGTTGAGCAAAGCTTGAAGCTTAACTCATGGAGGGTGCGAAGAGACCTCGAAGCTTGGTGCAATGTTATCATGCAATGTACGGCGTGTTTGGGGCTTCCGTACTAAAGAGCTATGAGACATGGGGGGGAGCCACGTGCTACCACATGATCTACCCAATGTTGACTCCGGCGAACGTTTGGCACAAGACCCCAAGCTCAAAGAGTTCAGGTCAACAGATCAGCATACGTACACTTGTGTTCTGGTTGCCAGGCATTGTGTGTTGCCCCCTTGCACAGATACGTCGTCTACCAGTGCGAGAAGTGCCAAAAGTGGACCGAGGGTGCCTGCTCAGGGAACGACTGTTACTATCCAATCGTGGGCTACATAGCATCAACATATAGCTCGGTGAGCTGAGCGATTATACGGAACATCAAGACCAAACCCTCACGCAACTACTACTACTACTACTACTACTACTCCTACTACTACTACTATTACTACTACTCCTGCTGCT